CYCTATCAGGARCTGTAGTGRCAGGAAAAGGAGTARCAGGTACAAATTGAAAGAGAGGAARTTYAGGTTAGATGTTAGGAAGAAATTCTTTACTKTGAGGGTGRTGAGACACTRGAGCAGGTTGYCCATGGAAGTTGTGGATGYCCCARCCTTGGCAAGTGTTCAGAGTCAGGYTGGATACGGYCTTGAGCAGCCTGGTCTAGTCAAAGACTTGGGAGGGGTTGTTACTAGATGATCTTTAAGATCTTTAGTGTGCCTGACATTCTACTCTTCTATGATTTTTCTTTCCAGCTACTTAATGCAATCCAGCTCTTTGGAGCTAACCTGGATGACTACCTTCATTTGTTACTACCTCCCATTGTAAAGCTATTTGATGCCCCAGATGTCCCTATGGTGGCTCGCAAGTAAGTGCTGGTGGCTTTGCAGTCTTGCTCTTTGCAGTTTTACCTGTGATATCCAAGTTCTGCAGTGGCTGAATATTTACAATGAAATGTCATTTAGTCCCTTCTTCAGCTTGTCCATATTATATCATTGTGGAAGGTTATTTTTGTTTGGACATTGCAGCACTGGCTTTTTGGTTGATTTTTTTGTTGTTGTTTCTTTGGGGTTTTAAAAATTTTTAGAATTTTTTCTGATTCTCACCTGCCAGTGTTTTTTAATCACTTGCAAACTATCCTGCAAATACTAGCTGAATTAACAGTTCTGGTGGCCTATTTTTCCTATTATTATTAATCATAGGAGGACTGAGCACTTAAGTATTTTTCAGTCTTATTTCTCCCTTCTTAACATTCTGAGGGATAAGTTCTTCCMCTTTTTTGCTCTGACTTTAGAGCTGCTCTAGAAACAGTGGACCGCTTGACAGAGTCCCTGGATTTCACGGATTATGCGTCGCGGATTATTCATCCCATCGTACGAACACTAGATCAGAGCCCTGAGCTACGAACAACTGCAATGGACACCCTTTCCTCTCTGGTGTTTCAGCTAGGAAAGAAGGTAACATTGTTCTTTGGCTTGAAAGCTCACAGGAGGAGTGACTGTTCCAAAGATCAAGGCTTTAAAGTTGAAATTTTGTAATGTATTCATGGGTTTTCAAGAGAACTGATTTTTCTTCTCTGAGTTGTTTCTGGAATTGGGAATTACTGTAATCAAACTGTCAGAATTGGTTTCTTATTCCACAATGTGATGGAATTTTACTGCTCTTGATGCCACTGAGTAACAAGTTTTTGATGGATTCCCTTGTACAGTATCAAATTTTCATTCCGATGGTGAACAAAGTCCTGGTGCGACACAGAATTAACCATCAACGCTACGATGTTCTCATCTGCAGAATTGTAAAGGTTAGTTGACAAGTATATAGTTGTTTGTGCTTTTGGGGTGTTGTCATGTTGAAACAGAKGTAGCTGGAACCTTCCCTTGGTGTTACTCATAAAATAATGAGTGGTTGTTGCTCTATTTCTGTGTTAAGTGCAGCTTTTTAGGAAGACTTKGAGATTGCAGTGGGAAAACTTTTGTCTACTGGTATTAAATATTTCCTATAGAAAAATCATGGCAATTTCTARGGAAGAACTTAGACTTGTAGCCAGTGTCATTATGATTATTTTTCTTGGTTGTGGGTTTATCCTATTTTTCCATGGTTTCAGGACTTGAGTAGACCTTGTTATCCCAGTATTTTCTGTAGAATGTCTTACATTAAAAAAATTTAGTAACTGGTTTACAATTTGTGTGGACAAGCAACTAGCAATTTGTGTGGACAAGTCAAATAGGCAAGAGTGCTTTTTATTCTAAGTGCTAAGAGTTTTTTACAGTTACCTTAAGCAGCAAAGGGATATCATTTTGAGTTCTGTGCCTTATAAGGTGTAATCATTATAATGAAACATGGTTGTTTGCTTCACAGATTTTGCTGTAAGAGCTCTGACTTTATCATCTGTTTGGCTTGTAGAAAATTGCTTCTATATGTGTAGGTCTGATCTTCACTGTAAACCAATTATTGTAGGGTTACACTCTTGCTGATGAAGAGGAGGATCCCCTGATTTATCAGCATCGAATGTTGAGAAGCAACCAGGGAGAAACTTTGGCCAGTGGTCCTGTGGAAACAGGTCCCATGAAGAAATTACACGTGAGCACCATCAACCTGCAGAAGGTAAGACTGGASCCCTCACAGCATGAATTTGCTACTGAAGGCAGGAGCTAATGTGTCACAGTGAAGGARTTTGTCCAGTGCATCTGAACTACATTTATTTATGTTGCTTTTCTGTTCTGTACAAAACTGAGGTCAAAGTAGTGTCTGAGACTTCAAAATTAGAAGGTGCTGAGCAACTTTGAAGATRGGAGACCTTGAACTTTCAGACTGTTAATGGCTGTGAAGTAATCTTTACACTTGCTTGTTAAGTAGAAAAAAGACTTTCTAGGTCACAATGAATAACTTCTCACTACTAGAGACATCTGTTTCAGAGCCTCTGCATTTTTTTTGTATTTTTGCTTTTGCTCCTCTTATGTCTTTTATCTTGAAGGCAGAACTTATTAGCTAAGCACTGGCTAGTTTGAGCAGTACATGCATGTAGCACTCAGTTCAGTGATRGRATGRATTGGTTTGAAAAYGYTRGACTTGAAAATATAATTCTAAATGYATTAAGTATTTTTAAGCTGATATTTCAACAGTGGCTTCAACTCTACATGTATTTTTGTAGAGAAAGGATTATTCATGTTAAATACTTGCCATGCCATGACAAGGATACATTTAGGGTAGATTCCTTAGAAATGCTACTTAGGTATTGCAGATTATCTGCTGAAGGTAATGGATTTCAGGAAATTGAAAAGGGATTCTAAGTGTRTGGTTTGGAGTTGTAAAGAAGTAATACTGCCTGCTGCTGGATTTCTCCTGTTCTTGGATAGTGCTTTGTTTGGTAGGTRAATTGTCTTCCTTTGTACTGCAGGCCTGGGGAGCAGCAAGAAGAGTTTCCAAAGATGACTGGTTGGAATGGTTAAGGAGACTGAGTTTGGAGCTGCTGAAAGATTCCTCCTCACCATCCCTGCGCTCATGTTGGGCCCTGGCTCAGGCCTATAATCCCATGGCTCGGTACAATGTTTCTCTCTTTCTATCTCACTTGAAATGGCAGATGCAAGCTASATATTGCAAGGAAAAAATACAGTTACTTAGAAGCTCTTAGGTTTCATGGAGATAGTTCTGCTTTGGGATAAATCAAGGAGTCAACGGCTTGATTTCATTTTCACCCTTCCCATTTGGCTGCTCCATGTGCACAAAATCTTTTATTGGAATTCTGCATGTTAGTCTAGAAATAAGGCACATAAGTGAAGCTGGAAAAACAGCAGAGTATGAAATAGTTTTGAGTATTTACTGTGGAGAATAAAAATGCCTCTGAGTGGAATAAGCTGCAGTTCCTTTTTGCAACCAGCATGTTTGGAGAAACTTTGATAGCATATGATAGTACAATACTTCTATTATTGTAGTATACCAGCCTATTCTGTATTTTTAAAYGAAGGTTTCACAGATTTTAACTTTGTAAAAACTAATCACTATTTATTGTACGTAGGCATGTAAGTGTATTTTGTAGCTCTCTTTCTCTCAATGAGAAGGTGAGCCCACTGTCAAACAGACCTTTCCTTATGAATCCCCACCTCTCACTGTTTTTCATGTTCCTCCCCAGAGACCTCTTCAATGCTGCTTTTGTTTCATGCTGGTCTGAGCTGAATGAAGACCAGCAGGATGAGCTGATCCGAAGCATTGAGTTGGCCCTGACTTCTCAAGATATTGCAGAAGTTACTCAGACTCTRCTGAACTTGGCAGAATTCATGGAGCACAGTGACAAGGTAGAGATGCTCTTGGGCAGCTCCTTCTAGTGCTGGCTGGTGACCACTCTGTGGAATGGGTGTGATGAGTTCATGATGCTTTGTAATACTCATCCTGCTTTTGATGTGTGTGCTCCTTCCCAGGGCCCACTGCCTTTGAGAGATGACAATGGCATTGTCCTTCTGGGGGAAAGAGCTGCCAAATGTCGAGCATATGCCAAGGCCCTTCACTACAAAGAGCTGGAATTTCAAAAGGGTCCCACTCCAGCTATTCTAGAGTCTCTCATCAGGTAGGACTACAACTGGTGAGATTTCTGCTCTTGCTACAATTTTARATACCACTAGGATTAATCTAGGCAATTCTTAGGACTTCACTCTGTCACAATATTGTTAAACTACTTGCAAATGTGCACTTTTAACTGCTGAGTTCTGTTCTTCTACTGTGTGGTTAAACCTATGATAGAAGCCCTGGGAAGTTTTGCAGGAAGAAGTGCAGGAAAAGGTTCTGATTTCCCCCTCTCACCCTTCAAGTTCACTATGAAATGGCTGCAGGTTAAATGAGACAAATTTCTACACCTGCCTATAAATAACTCAGAAAAGTTGAAGTTCTAAATTAAAATTCCTCATCACATTCTGCTGATTTTGCTTAGATAAGTCTCATTGCTCATATGTCAAACAGAAGATTATAATGAAGTATGTCTTATTTCTAAGCTTTGACAGCAGCACAGATGTTAGCCTGAAATACCTGCACAGGATTTGGTGCTAAACTACATGTTTTAAAATGTGGCTCTCCATTCCATATCACAGAAATGTTAGCTCAGCTATTTGAGATGAACAAATTGATTTTGGTTGAGCAAGATCTTAACTTTGTCTTTATGCAGTGAATTTTTCAGCCCTCCTACTTCCTTGGAATTGTGTTTTCTCAATTTTTTCTYCTCTTTTWTTCTTTTACCCTTTGTTCTGCCTCATGTTATTGAGGAAAATACAGAATTCAGTGTATTTTTTTCTTGGTCTCGGTTGTTCACACACTTGTTTCTTTGTGTATCAAAAAGCAAGTTAAGGAGCAAAGAACTGACAAAAAAGCACATTTGAAAATGGAACAATTTATTAGAAATGAAAAAGTTTTAGAAATCTTTAAAAATCCATTTTATAGACCACAGTTAAAAAAGTTCAAACTATATTTCCACATAGTTGAAATTTGCAGTATGAATAGTTGAACATRTGTAAGGTAATTCCCAAGATATCTTTATGTTCCATTTCACATAAGATTGAACAATCTAATCCAGATTCAAATTCTCTTCAAGGTGAATAAAAATAGATGTATTGATGATAATGATCTTTTCCAAAGTACTCAAACAATGGTACAGCTATGGGAGGAGTCTCATTTTTTTTAACTATTGTCTTTAACACTTTGTTATGTAAGGGTATTCCATATGTACTATTTTTAACAGACCATCTCTTGGTAATTTCCAGCTGGGGTATTTTTCAAAACAGATTTAAATATTCCTCAGTCAGTGTGCTGTGCTAGMAAACATTCCCTTGTGTTGAAATAACTTTTGGCACTTAGGGATTCTCTGGTGTGTACTAGTGTTCTGCTCACTATAATACTGTGGTTTTAAGTGTTGGAGTTGAGTTTTTTGGCTGGGTCTGGACGTTTTTTGGCTAACCTACTGTTCACTCTCWGCCTTACTGACATACAGCTTGTTTGTATTCTAACCTGGACATAATTTGGGGACAGCCCAGAAAGTTGCTTTTCTAGTTCACAGCATTTGGGTGATCTGTGTGGATAGAAATAAACATCAGAGGGCACATGGGACAGGTCCTCCAGTGTTACTATCTGTTAGGGCAGCCTTCAGTGGGGATTATTTGAGGCAGCAGCAGGAGGTAGCAGGAGAATATGGGCAATCCTAATTAATGCAACTGTTCTGAGCTTTGTTCTTTCCTCTGTGGGAAAGTAAGCCACTTACTATACACTAAAGAATGGTGCGTCAGGGACACTTCTGATTAATTCCTCTGCCTTGAACTGAGTYTATAATTCTTGTGGTTTGAGTCCCTCTTAAAAGGAGGTGCTCAGCAGTGCTTGCTTGACACTGAAGTAAAGGCAGCCAAGAGGCTTTTGCTTTTCAGTCCCTGCCTGTTTAATTATACTAAGGCAACTCACTAGYCACACTACTAGTGAAAATGCACCCACAGGTTTTCTGAAGGTGCTGTRAGTGCATTCAGTTCTAACCTAAAACAATATTTTTCCCTTTGGAAAGAGCCTGAACAGGAGGAAATGAGCCTGAGCCCTGATAACACTGGTGGCTGTGGCTRGTGTTGCAGTGTTTGTTGTGAGCATCACCAGTACATAGCTATGGCATGTATTGGATGAAATGAAAASTTATTTGGCTGTTCATTGCCCACCTTTTGCACGTTGACATCATGTAGCTGTACAATCAAACATTGATTCCTTCTATGGTTTGAAATCTTCTGGCCGAATCTTCATCTCTACTCTCTTGAGTGAATAGGTGGATCCGTGCCAGCCGTACCAGGTGATGCCATCCATGTTCTTGGTGTGTTCTCCTTTGCGGTAGTAAACCCCGTTCAGATTGGAATCTGTGCAGCAGTTGTACCAATAKCCACCTTGTCAGAAACAAATTAATAGTTCCTGGTGAGTCATTTGTGTTAATGATTACTGCTTTTTCTGGAGGACAGTGAGCAGAACGCAGCATTTAATCCATGGAGTCTATGGCCCTAATAGCTGGGGTTGCARGTAAATTAAAAACTTAACATAGATATTTAGGAACTTAAAGGCATTACAGTTCTATAGTCAAATTGGTCCAGTAGCTTTTCATTTAGTTGCTCATTGCTCTTAGAATATTTCCTTGACACATTTCTGACTCTTGACTCAGTGAATTAGCATAGGAAATGAATTTGGGTAATTCTCTAGAGCATCTTAAGGTATTTAAAAAGTTCCTGAACTCTKTGAGTATTTATTGAGACTGAGATCAACAGTTTTGTTTGCATGTTGTGTGGGACACAATGGGGAAATTAAAGAGTAATTTGTACATGTGATGAAGATAATTRTCTTTGACAGAACTCAAAGATACTAAATTAAATGAAGAAAGTAACCTCATCAGAGGCTTGTAATAGGGTAGGAATAAACATGATAAGTCAGGTTGAACATGGAGGTAAATACAGGAGAAGAATTACAGGTGCCTAATACTAGGACTTGAAAACTTAAAAAAATATAAGAAAAGAAAGAAAGAACCTTGTAGATATTAAGGAATAACTTCCTGTATCACTGTGTTGTATCAGCATGTGACATTGTCTGTCACATACTGTGATGGGCTGGGTAATTATGCAGAGGTCAGAGCACACGATTTTGTGTAAGAATACTGTAACACAGTCTGCTCTTTGTAAATCAGCTTTAACTGTCAGATTTCCCACATAAGCCTATTTTCCACAACTGGGAGTGTTTGGGCTCTCTACAATTGACCCAAGCAGCTCTCTTGGGACAGGAAGGTGTTTGTGTGTTTTACCTTTACGGAGTTGGGCACAATCATCCACACACTTGTCATTGTCCTTGTCCTTCGTGCTGAAGGCTGTGTTGTTGTGGTACCGTAAGGAATCTCTTCCTGTGTTCCCAGTGTAATTCCCCACAAACAGACGGTAGCTGTTTATTTCATTGCTCAGGGCAAACTGCCCATATTTGGCATAGCGTGTGTTACCTTCCCAGTCCTGCGAAGAACAGGGAGAAGAAATCAATCCTRTTAGAAGGTTATAAGGACTCCAACATCCATGGTTAGATACATTTTTACTGTCTCAGACTGCAGAAACTGCTCTGTTAAGGCAAAGGAACTTTCCAGAGCAAAGCTGGACTTAACCTGCACTGATATTTTACAATATGTGGGAAACGTGATGTGCAGCTCTTGCATTCAATATCCTTATCTCAGTGTGCTGAGATAAAATGCAAAAAATTTTTTTTTCATCTCTGAAGCAGTGACTTTTAGATCTAAAGCCTTTTCAGTTTACACATATCCCATCCCTCAAAGCTATTGCACAGCTATAAACTAGTGTAAAGTCAAACCCAAGCCTTTACCAGACTAAAGAATTTGAGGGTAATTCAGTGCAAACTCTTGTACCCAGACTGGAAGGAAGTGCTGCAAAATGAAAAGACTCTCAGAGACTTGAAAAGTTTATGGGACATCTCTTTTTGACTTTTTAAATCTGAGATGGTCAGCAGTTTGATCTCTATCTACAGTGGTTTCTGCAGGATATCCTAGAACCCCAAGTGTTCTGAAGACACAATCTCTGTGCAGACAGCAGGTTGTGCCACTGTCTTTGCACAGGAGAGAACATACTTCTGTCATGTGCTTGAATGTATCCCTAGGTTGAACCTAGTTTCTTCTCCTGTAATTAAAGCATGCAGATTTTTTGGGCCTCCTATAGAGATAGTATCTCCTGTCTGGTACTGGGGGATTACTTTGTACAAAAAAGCCTTTTGCTGCTGAAATTAAGAGCTTATTAGTTACCTCTAACTCCACTCGCATAACAGTGGGGCGTCTTGAAAGTCGGTAGATATTTTCATTTCCCAGCCAGAAATCTCCCCTAATATTGCCAAATCCTTCCCTGTATTGTTTCCAGTCCCTATTGAACGATGTCAGACCAACTTTACGTCTTTGGATGATAGTCCAGCCACCTCCATCTGTCTCCATGTCACAGAACACCTGGAGTAGAAAAATAAGATAGTGGTTACTTCTCAGTAGACTAAGGAAGGTTCAGTTCCTTAGCACAAGACATGGTTCCAGATTTCACAACCTGAAGAAATTTGTATTTTGTTTAAAACTCTTGGCAAAAAATCGTTGGAGAAACCCTTTTTCTATTTTCTCTCTTAAGTATACAGTCTTTCCTTCCTTGAAGTTTGCTTACATAATGATGCTGATGGCAATACAAGGTAGCAAAACTTAGTGTATCCTCTTTTCATGTCTATAGAGAAGTATTTCTTGATTGTATTTTAAAAGTCATATAATATACATTGTGTACTTAACATCCTTACCTCTAGATCTGGAATTCCCAAAAATTCATCAGGAGGTAGCTTGTAAACACCAGAAATTCKGTAGTTCCTCTGGTAAAGTGATGAGCAGTCATAAACAGCATCTACTTGAATCAGAACCAGAAAGTGAGAACTTGAACAGCAAGAACTCCTCTTTTGTGAAGCTGGTTTCTGCAAAGTTTAGTTTGTAGTGCAAGGAGTAATGAAGAAGGCTTTCCACAAGTYTAATGTTTTCCTGAAGTGGCTTTGTTCTGAGTGGTGTATGCATTGGCAAAAGGTGTCGTAACACTGGAATTTTGTGGGTTTTATTATTTTTTTTTTTTTTAACCTCTGCTATGCAAAAGGATATCTCTGCTTTCTCTTCACATTGGCACTGTGTGTCTGTGCTGGAAGGTATAATATATTTGCTGACCCCTCCTAAGCAATAAAGTCTTCTCYAGTGGCATGGCTGGGCCTGCTGCCAGGTGTCTGTTTGGAGTGTGTGAACAGATTGGCCAAATTTGTGGATATTTGTTCAACCCTTTCTGCACTGGTGTCTGTGACAGAGAARTGCCTTTTAGCTGCAGTCAGTTTGTGAAAGCCTCTTTTCCTCCTGGTGCAAAAACTGAYTTGAAGATGTAAAATGCACAACTATTCTGAGGAGGATAAATGAACTGAAGCAARGCTTTATCCTGTCTGACAGTTTTTGTAAATGTCACTTACCTGGTGAGGTGAGACACATCTGTCTTAAATACCTTTTGGGCCAGTTTCTGCTATAACTGTTTTTTCTGTAGCTTCAAAGAGACTTGTTATGGTGTAACTTTTTTTTAAGGGCTACTGAAAATAGTGGTGTGTCAAAATTAACCAGGTGGAACWATTTTAGAGGAACAATTAGGTAAGTAAATGGAGGAGCTTGTCATTAATGTAAAAAAAAAATCCAAATGAAGCATTTTGGCAAACCCAGTTGTCTCCAACTGAGAGAATTTAAGTTCTTTGCAGTGAATTTCATTTGAAGAGAAAAGTCAGCAAAGAGGATGCTTTCTTCCAAAGAAGTGCCTTTACAGGTAGCTGACCTAAAAATGCACCTGCATTCCACATTTAGTACAGGCTTGTGCAATCACTGTGTGCAGTGAAATTTTCCCTGAGGGAAGAGAATTTTGAAGAATTTAACTGTGGTCTGGCTAGGTTGATATCACAGTTTGTATCCTGCATCTACAGCCTTGAATTTTTAAGAATTATCATTCCAGTAATGGATCACTCTTTTTTATTGTGGTTCAGAGATAGTAATAAAGATATAATTACAAGTCTTTAGTAACTCCTGGAGAGCATTTCTAATTGTTTTAACAATTTCTAGTCTCTTGTCAGCACTGTGAACTCAGAGATCATTACTTCCAGAGCCATTCCCTTACAAAGCCAGCTCCGATTCTTTTAGAACTGGTATTGTAGTGCGCTGAAAATGAAATATTAGGCTGAATTCCTCACTGTAGAAATGCAGTACCTGTTCAGTTTCTGTACTCCCTGAGAACAGACATAGATATGAAAATACAGATGGGCAAATTCAAACTATTTTTCTCAGGATCACTGCCTAAGCAGCAGTATTCAGTGTGCATGCTTGCTAACCACATTAGTGGGACATGCTAGCACTAGGGACTAGTCATTAGTTGTGCATTGAGTATCTGGGAGCTCGGTGACTCCCTCCTTACCAGCTGATGTTTGTGTGACCGTCTGAGCTGCCTGCAGTTGCATGATGTCTATCTGGTTGTTCATTTCGGAGTATTTGCTCTCAGCATCGATGAGGCGGGACTCCATCTGCTTGGTGCTCCCTTCCAGCTCCATCACCTGCATCACCACATTCACCCAGTCCCCTTCCTGCTTCTTGCTCAGCTCCTGCAGCATCCTGCTCAGGTTGGCTACCTGCAGCTTCAGCTCCTTGATCTCCTCGCAGCAGCCCAGCATCTTCAACTGTGCATTCCCACTGATCATTCTCCTCTTGGGAGGTTTCTGCAGYAGTGCAGGGTAGATTGCCACAGACATGGTGACAATGCAGAGMCATGCCAGCTGAACCGTGGGTCTTGCTGGCATTTTTGCTTACAGCAACAAAAACCTTCCAGCTGACTGCCGTAGTATGAATGCAGCTGGGGTAGGTATGAAATTTCCTGCAGCAGCCTGGTACCTTCCTTGCTTCCAATGAAGTGAGTCTCTGAAGGTGGAGCCTGAAGAAGTGGCTTTTTTTCAGACCCCTCCTGTCAGTGTCTATGCATTTAGGAAGTCTGTCTCAAAGAATCTTATATACTATTTTTCTGTTTACCTCCACCCCCCTGAAACTCTGAAGAGCTTGCTGGCCCCTCCCAGTTCATCTCTTCATATCAGGTGTTTACAGGGTGATATATTGGARCAGGTTTCAGCCTGGAAAGGTTGGGGAGAGCAGGAGAGACTTCTCTCAGTTCTGTGTTGAAGAAGTGTAGGAGGGGGCTAGGAAATGAGGTGAATTTCCAGCAGCTATTGCCTATTGGATTGGAGCCCTCTTGGTGACTAGTCCTGGCACTTTAATAACATGAGAGCATTAGAGATCCAAAATGTGAAAAGGCTGTTYAAAATGGGTGAGTTTATAGAAGTTCAAGGAGGGTAACTCCCCAGAAAGTAGCACTGCCTGCTACAAGTCCTACTAATATATTCCCCAGAAGGGGGTAACTTTATGCTTGCAGTATTTGTTAATTTAGAAAATGTTTTAGCAAATTATTTACTTAAGCATCTAATTCTCTTCTCTCTGAGCACTGGGATCTCTGCATTATTAATGTTGTAGAATCCAGTGCTGTTCTTTTAGAGAATGGATATCTGAGGGTGGGGTGGAATGAAATCTGCAGAATATGTAAATAAAAACCCACTCCTCTGTTTATTCATAGTGGGCAAGTGAAAGGACATTAAGTGATGATGAGAGTCTACCTAAAACTGACACAAGGTGGTTGTTTTTACAGGCTAAGGGATCTAACTCCAGTGTCATGGAGGACAGTTTATTAATAAGATTTTGAGAGGAAAATCTACGGGTAATTAAAACCTTCATAGTTATGTGAAGAATAGATTTTAGAGTAAACTTTCAACGTTTAGAAATTCAGAGTATTTGTCAAGTCTCAGATGGCTGAGATGGCAACTTCCTCTCCTCTTTTATATCTTTTAACAGTTCAGAATTTTATTATAACAGTTTGCTCACCAAATAAAACCTTTTCAGCAAAGGTGCAGCCTTTTGCAAAAGGTCTCCACGCTTAGTTCTAGATCCTTCAGGATAAATTGTTTCTCCCAGGCCAGAACATGTGGGTTCTTGCATCTTCCTGCAAAATTTCTGATTATAATMAGTGGGCAGAAGTAAGATGAAATAAAGGATTAAATGCCTCATGTATCTGCTTCTTGCATAAAGGCTGTGAAAGCTTCTTGATGTCCAAGGAAACAAAAGAAAGTTAATCTTGCACCTCTTACAAAGGATATTAAGACAAACCCTGCTGACACACACTATCCCATCTGGCCTTCTTTTGCTGATCCAAAGTGGCTGCAGGATTTCTGCTTGATTAGGAACCATTAGAAAAGCCTTGCTGACCTGACATTTGCTTTTAAAGAAATAGAAGGCACAATTTCTTGTTGATGCAGTTTCTCTCCCTCCTCAGCTCTGATAGATTTGTTGCTTGATGCTTTGTTATTGCCTCTGATTTGCTCCAGGATTGGCTAATAGTTTTTCTCCAAAAAAGACCCACAGGAGTGCAAAGCTTTTGGGAGATTAAGGCATCAAAGCACTGCAGGAGTGGAAYATGAATAACAGTTGTCTCATAAACCTGAATTGTCATAGAGAAGGAAGAGGGGATCTTCAGGAGGAGGTCAGAATTAGAGCTCTCCAAACAATCAGTTGTCTTGTGGGTGACTAACTGCCTGTGTGCTGTGCTCTAGAGAAAACTGCTGGCTCTGTTGTGTCAGCTGGCGWGGGCACTGTGTGGGATTGGTGGGCTGAGATATTGCCAGAGATATGCAAGWACAATTTGATGAAAGCACTGAGGGTACCTCCACAGCAGACCATAGGCTTCAGTCAATTTTTATCATGGACATTCCAGAAACCTTCCATAGCAAAACTGCTTTTTATGCTTCAGACCAGAAAGTGCCACTGCACACAGATGAAAGCCTGACGTTTTTGTTCTGCCTCTAATCCTGTCTGAGCCCTCTTCCAGCTGGAGCTTCTGTCATTCCCAGGGGCAAATTCTTCTCCAGCTTCCTGTGATGAGAAACATGTTTTTGTTGAAGTTGGAACAGAGAATGGGACAGGCCAGATTCTGCTTCTCTGCCCCAAAAAGCCACCCTGCTTACACCCCTATTGTGTTACCCAGCACTTCAATCCATTCTGCTGCTGCTCCCACTCAMAATAACTCTCCTGTCTTGGACAGATGTGGAAGAGGGGAGCCATTTGTAGGTCTATGCATTCCATCTTGACACAAATTTTGGGAGGATCAAAGATTCAGTTGAACACACATATTACAAAACACTGCAAAAATCTGAATACCTTCTCTAAACTGGAGTATTTAATTGGAAATGAGACAGCCAGGGTTTTATTTTGGATTTGGCTTCCAATTTGTATATCTGAATGCAAGCCATCTTTCTTCTGGGTACTTTGATTTACCTGTTTTAAAAGAGAATACTTTACTTTGTTCTGTGTAAGAGGATGACACAGACATATTATGCAGGAATGGAAAAGAGCACAAATCTTCCCATCTGTCATTACTTTTGAGAAAGCATTAAAGGAGATTTGGGCAGAGACTTCACTTGGCAGAGATCTCAGTGGAATTTGACTTCTTTATGAGTATTTGAAAGATGGGTCTTTCCCAGCTTCATGGAGAGCTGAATGTGGTCACTGAGRGAGCAATAACTACAAATGGTAGTCATTGCCAGGTTAGGTCAGTAGCTGGAGCTGACAAAAGCTGTTCTGCTTTTTTGTACTGTTCTATTTATGATTTGAATTCAGGATCCTGGTACATTTTGTAAAGAGGTATAGTTTGGGGCATAGCTGAGGAGAAATGAGTTCCATGATTACTGAGTGGGTCCTGTTCTTTCCTTTCCCCCAGTACTGATGGAGAAATTGAGCACCATTTGGCCTGAAATCCAACATACTAGTTTTCCTCCACTATAATTTATATGTGGAAGTACTGTGCTACATGATCACTAAAAAGTCAAGATCCTAAAACTAAAAACATGAGTCAAATCCTTTTTGACTACATTCATGATACAGTTCTGAAGTGGTTGTGAGAACTGAGGCTAAATATGGTTTCAATTTGTATGTGCCATATGTTTATAATGTTGGTTGATGTTACTAATTCAATTATATTAGTATTACCTGATTAGAACCAGTTATCTCCTGTCCCTGGAGGGCCAGATTAAATTAGAGGTAAGTTTAAATGATTGCCTTCTCTGGGAAGCTGTTCTGGCAGGTGTATGAAAAGCTGAGACAAGAAGAAAAGCTCAGTGCCCTGTGGGTATTTATTTGGTAGCCATTCATTGCAAAAGCCTTTMTATGCATCTGGCAAATGCTTAGAATCTGGCATTCCTGGTGCTTGTTGAGATGGCAAAGGCTCTCATCAGCTCTCAGCTGGCCCATCACAGAGTCCACACTTGGCCAGAGCTATGAAATCCTGCTTTTCCCTCCCAGGAAGTGTGAAACTGTTCATCTTTGGCTTTGGAGTTGCTCATAAATGCTCCAGCATTTACTCTGCTACAACTTTATGGTCAGSACTGTGTTGTAAATCTCTGAAGTTATATTATGGGACAGGTGGAACAGGGGAGAAGACTAAATGAGAAACAAAACACTGCTACTTCCTACTGTCGTTTGTGATTTGTTTTTTATTTAAGGCATCCCCTCTTTGCATAACCAATGCACAAAGACTAGCTCTGTTTTATTTTGTTTTGCTAAATATCTTGCTTAGCAATTTTTTTTTCTCTGCTTTCTGGTTAATAAAAAATAGGTGATACAAAAGCTTTTGCACCTAAGCAGCAGGTCTGGCTAAGAAATTTATTGTAACATTTTTCACTGATTTTTCTTTCAAAGCTGATGAATGTTTTTATTAGATTTGCTAGCATTTATATCAAGATTGGGAATTTGGCCAGTTTTGATGCCTATGAGCAATGTGGTTTGCCCTTGCTGGAAGTTGAAGTGGCTGCTCTGGCCTGGAGGCACTCACCCATCACAACTCTTTATTGAAAACAGCCCTTTCCTGCTATCAGTTTCTCAAATGTATTTGTTCCCAGAATGGGAATAATTTTTAGTGGCATGRTGGACATGCATTGGTTTTCTGAGTTGTTTTGGGGACTGTGGTTTGTTTTCTGAGCTTTCTTGAATCAAGGGCTGGGGGATGCCTGAAYACAAATAAATCATAGAATTGGGGAAAACAGCCAACAAAGCTAGTCACTTTTGCCAAGGGATTATCTGTTCCCCCAAGTCTCCACAAMGTAGCAGTGCCTTCCAATCCCAGAAGCAGCTCTCAGCACTTCTTCAGAAGGAAAAACAAGCTTGACTGAAGCTGGTAAAATCTGTCACATGGAGAACGTTTTTAAACAAACTTGAAGAGACTGAAAAAAAGAGGTTTGTCTTCTTGTCTAGACTCTGCATACAAGCTGCTTTATTGCAAAAGTAAAAGTTTCCCTATTATGTTTTGGGATGCATTCTGGCAAYAGGAAATGTGTGTGTTCCCTCACAGAAAGGTTTGGAACTGCTTGAAAAGGCTCTATTAAAATAAARGGKTTTYTTTTTATAATTTTTATGAGAAGATGGGAAGAGTCTGATTACTTCTGAGTTCTTGAAAGTTTAATATATTTTGAGTGACAGAGAATATTGTCAATATTAAAGATAATGGAAGACTGAAAGCTGCCAGGACTGTATAAAAGAGGACATTTCTGGTTAATGTTACACATTTATGCCTCGGGTTTGTGGAGGAGAAAAGTCCATCCTTTGAGTTCTCTTCCCACTGAAGACAAAGTTGTTTTTTATTCCCAGTTCATGTCTGGTTTCTTTTTAAATAACCTTTAAAATAYACAAGCAATAGGAATATATTTCTCTTAAATATTGTTCCTTTTTGTGATTCTAGTTCAGTGTACATGTACAGGTTTGATATCTTAATAATCAAGCAGTAGGTTTATGTAACCTTTCACTACTAATAAAATTTGAAGATATAAGATTTTTGACCAAGATTTTTATGTTAGGGAGTGTGCCAAGGGT